ACTTAGTTCTCTATATACATATAGATATATAGAACTAAGTATATCTGCAGTAAAAATATACATTCCTGTTTGACTTTTTTCTTTGCATGATATTTCTTTCTGTTGTTGTATTATTTCTAATTTATAAATAATTATTCAAATGCTTTTGATTTTTCATAAGTATCATTTTAGAATGTATTGCATTTTAATGTTTGTTCACGTAATCTGCTTGTTCTGCATAACTCTGAGCTAAATTTTTCCTACTTGCTCATTTAGAAATGAGTAAACAGCTGCCAAGTTTCTTGATAGCTATTTGTCTTAATTTCTAGTTTGGTACAGTTTTAAACCTGCTTTAATTGTCAATTAGAATTAAAGCATTAAAATTTCACTTAATTGAGAATCATAGAGGTCACAAAACATTTTTATATAATATGCCATCTATTGGACATGCCATTATACTGTGACTTATTCTGTCAGGTATAGGTATCGCTATCAAAAAATAAATGTTTCAAAAACATAAAAGTATTTTCCTGGTAAATTAAGAAGCCAGACAATTTCCCTCGGGAATTTTCTAATGTATTAACATTTTTATGGACTTATTTTCTACATCTTCAGTTAAAACATGTATCTTCTACAAGAACAATTATGAAGACTATTGGTTTCTTCCTTAGACTGAAGATGGGAAACTAATCATTGAAGGAATGCTGGATATTTTGGGGGGAGTAAAACAGCCTATACAGCTGAAGATGCAAGATGAAAAGCAGATCTCTTCTTTTACCACACTGACTTTACCAGATACTTTTTCCACCAAAGGGTAAGTTATCTTCATGCTTTAATTCTTTGGATGGTCTTCATATTTCCTTTTTTTGCATGTGCTCTTACGGAGGGGAACTGTGTTTGTGTGTAAATGCTTATACTTATACATAGCTTCATATAATCCTCAGGCAACCCCATGAATTAGATGTTCAAAACCCATGGCTCTTTGAGGCCAGTTAATTTGTGACAGGTACCATGCAGCAGAGCTACATTCAACCTTCATTTTCTGGGATCCACACCCTGTGCTCTCCATTCCTCTGCTACAGGGCTTTTCTCCTGGAAGTCTGCACTCCTTCTCTGGAAGAGACAAACTGTAA